GATTAAAGTGTGCATTATCGTGCTATTTGGGGAAAGAGGTATATAGTTGCAAATAGGACATTACTTGAAATATTTATTTATATCAAATGGCAGGCTTTATGATAGTTACCATTAGCCCTTTAGTTGACTTCAGTCTTCACAGAGGGGGAGGAACATCAAAGTTTAAAAAATTCAAGAGTGTATCAAAGACGAAGGTAGATAAGGTGGAAAAAAGGTGGGATGAGTACTGTGAAAGTAGTCGAATATGACATACAGTGGGGTCGTGGTAGTTTGAAGTCAACTGCCAGGTAATAGACTTTTTTGCCGTATGAGTATACGTTGCCCAGGGTGCACCACGTGGAGGTAAGTCTATCACACACCCCACACTTGAAATATAGAAGAGTGGAATTAGGTGGTTTTTGGGGCATCCTGAAAAGTAAAGATAATTGGGGTGGTCTGCCCGGATGCAGCCTATTTAAACGACTGATGAGTATCACATTTTTCAGCAAACGGTGCTTCAAACCCAGAAATCTTACCGTTCGGTTCTGAATCGTCCGATAGCACATGAATTATGAGCAGCATATGGGCTTTTATTGGCTACCTAAGTGTTGGCTAAGAAGTTTAGAACAGTGTTCTGATCCCAAATTAGACACGAATTCGACTGTAATAGAATACAGAATCCCAGAGGCCGTTATCTTGGCTTTGTGACATTTAAATTCCCTAAATCTTCCAAATAAACGCCATGCGGTAGGTCTGTCTAAGTCTCTCTACATTGCAGGCAATATCATTGAAATTTGAAACCACTATCAAATGAATTGACCAAACACACATAAAAACTGAATGCAGAGAGAGCAAATGACTTTGGAACATGGCAAACCTCATCCAGTTTTGATAGAGTTCTCCCCCTCCCATTCCCCAACCTCCCTCATGTTTCGTAAAGTATTAGAGAAATTGTTTGCTGGGAAAATAGAGTTTAACTTACTGGCTTTCAGATTCATGTGAAAATCTGATCATTACATCGGCATAAATTATCCACTTTGAGCTAACTGAAAGCAGCTAATACTCACGTTTTACCAAATTATTAGGAAGGAGACCAATTTTTGGAATGTTAACCAAAAAAGCCAACTCTTTATTGAAGGATTTATTAACTTCTAAGGCAATGTTAATTGCCATAAGATCATTTAAGAATAACGAATAAAATGAAGATGTAAGGTAGGAGATTAATGATTTCTCTATCCGGTGCCAACTGAGTAACGTTGCTCATACGGCAAAGTTTACCGATCGGCAGTTGACATCTGACTTCAAACTAACATGGCCCCACTGCATGTCATATTCCACCACTTCCGCAGTTCTCACCTTGCCTTCTTCTCTACCTTTGTCTGTCTGTCTGTCTCTTCTGTTCACCCTCCCCTTCGACTTTTGCGAATTCAATGTTCCTCCCCTCTGTGAAGCCCGAAATCAACTAAAGGGGGAATGATAACTATCATGAAACCTGCCATTTGATTTAAATAGGCATCCTTAAATGGATGTGCAGCTGTCATATGGGACTCAAGGCCACGTGCTCCCTGGTGGAAGTTTGGATGGTTTAAGAGACACCTTCGCATCGATTCCCATATAAAATTCCATGTCGTGTGTTCTTCAAAGGCTTTAATTTGATCCATATATAATAAGATTCCCCAACCAACACTATATTACCCACCCTGACATTTTACGTGCCAGGCCCGTTTCTTTAGAACAGTTAGGTAATTTCAGTCCTTCTTGCTAAGACACTAGCACGTTCATTCCAGTTTTTTTAAAAAATCAGAGTAATTACGGAGGACCAGGCAACTTTTCTCAGTTATCTAGTTTACTCATGTTAATTTCAATATCTGACGCGTCTTTAATAGTAAACATTTAGCGACACCTAAATGATAAATAATTACCGTGGTCCTAAATAGCCACTCAGATAATGCTTTCTAGCCAATTGGGGACACAACAATATCATGAAAATATCATCTCCTAGAAGTAATTCCACCATTTTTGGTCATAACTCCCGCTTTCAGGGCGTGTATACAACGCAAATGCCTGGTCATTCACTAAAAACAACGATGCGTCATCGCAATGCCTGCATGACCGCACAAGCACGCACCAACAGCAATGGCGGCCAATCGCCAATGCCAGCCAATCAGCAACCTCAACATCACTAGCTGAACACGTTGTACGGTTTGCCAAAGTAGAACAATGCGAACGAGTCTCCTAGCGGTCCACCATTGCCATTCTGGTTTCTTTCCCTTTACCTTACAAATTAAAAAAAATTTCCTCCATCTCTTCACGTAAGCACTTCATTAGTCGTAGTATGAAAAAAAATCAAAACAGAGTAAGAGATATATGGGATAGAGAGAGTAGTTAGTCGTTTGTCATCAGAGTTGGAGTCAAAAGAGAGTAAATGAAAGTGTGCTCGCACATACGCTTCAATCACTTTATCATAGTAGGGAAGATGGTTGCATATAGGATAAAAAGGGAGGGGGGAGGCGAGAAATGAAATAATGGAAGCAAAGAGGTACACGAAGAAAGAGCTAGAGTAGGAAGATAATTTGTTGGCCGGTTCGTGTGTGCAGTGCAGCGCACAGCACATCTAACTGTATTGGCCGAAAGGGAAGGCATATGAAAATCGAAGTCCATACACATTGGGTATGGATGTGCTAATGACAGAGGTGGGTGGGTGGGTGGGTGTGTAAGTGTGTTAAGATGGAGCGAGAAGAAAAACGAAAGAGAGGGTAGTAAAAATATAGTCATCAGGTTGGGTGCTATACTTTACACGGGCTTGTTAAGGTTGCGTCGGGCAGCTTCAATAAGGGCACAGAGACCAGAAAGAGGCTTTGTGTCCAAGAGGAAAGGGTGTTCTAACAGCTCAGTTGCTGATGCTCGCTTCTCGGGGTCGCTTTGAAGACATCTGTCAAGGAAGTCTCGCATCAAGGGACTCACTTCAGTTGACTTTGGCTGAGGTCGTTCCTGAGTTTGAATGAGGTAAATAGCCTACAAGTAAATGGGAAAAATGTTGACCAAGAGCTCTAATCAACTATTAGAAATCATAAGCACAATTTCTAATATCCGTTTTGAAGGATATTATTGACAAACAGGCATTTTACCACTAGTATTCTAAACAAGTACATACAAATGTGGTTGAGAATTCCTATTTCTGAATAGGTAACAATAAAGATCCGATCAGCGTAAATAAAATTAAAGAAAAAAATAGCCATCAGATAACGATAATCGATGAAAAAATATTAACTTCATATATAATATACTGATATTAAATTCAGGTGTCCATCAAGGAGAACATCCAGAACATGTGGTCTGGATATAGCTCTATCGTTACTGGAAACAGCCAGTACGAGTAATCATTCAGACAGTTGACCTTCGAGCAGACAGCTAAGCAAAAATGAATTGCCTGAAGCAATCAGGAGAAACGTTCACAACACCTGATTTGGGTAGAGGGAAGGTATCCTGAAGACGTCATGAGAACTCCGATTTCAAAGGCTCCTTGATTGAACCACATCCGGAATTAACCGTCATCACAAAATTTTCTCGAATAAAATCAGAAACCGAATTCATGCCTCTAGATATATTAAATTGGTATTCATTTCAAGAACTCGGGTAAAGTTTATTGCCGCCGTATCAACAGAGTAACTTTTAACAAGACGCAAAAGAACGAGTAGGTAATAATCAATACTCCTGTCGAATAAAACTAAAAACCGAAAACAAGCTAACCTTATTTCTCTAAATCCCTACAAATATTCGAATTCTCTGAATCCAGTGAATGAATACTATAAATTTCAGGAGAGGCACCTTAAGCGATGAAGCATAGCGTAAAAAAGACTATGGACAAAGTTATTCGGAATATGAGAATACCAATGTGCAAATATCAATCATTTAGTTGGAATCTAAACACAACAAGGGGAATAACTGTTTCGATACCTCTGCGGTTTCAAGAAGGGTGTACGGTCATCAATATTTAAGGGGGGGGGGAGGGGTGAAGAACAGCTAGCAGATGATGGAAGCGGCAATAATAAAAATAATAAAGAGAGAAATAAAAATGGCTCACCCAGAAGGGAGAGAAAACAGCATGCCTTGATAAATACAGCCTAACATCACATTTACCCTAGTTTTTAAATGAGAAGATTTTATTCTAAAAGGAAAATTACCATAAAAATGCGGGGGAGAAAATGTCTCATGCCGAAACTTATGACCTCTGGAGAAGCTAAAATACTCGATTAGGTTTAGTATTAATTTCGTCTACTCAACTCCTAATCTCTTAACCCAAGTGTGAAAAATATTTCCCCAACAATGAAGTCAACAGGCAAGTTTTGCCCCTTGAAGGTCTTCAAGCAAGATGAACAATAAAAATCCAAATACAAGCAAATCTTAGTCGAAACGGTGTCGCCTCCTCCTCCTCCTGGTCGAGCATTTACAAAATTTCAAAATCGCAGTGGAAGGAACCAAATATGTAAAAAAATAAGCGGTAAATATAAAATGCGAATATTTACTGCCTATAAGTCCCCCCCCCCCACACCTCTTGCTAACAGCAAAGGGCCAATTTGACCCATAGATTGAGAAATTACTTCAAGTAACGCGTGACCCTTCTTAACAGCATAGAGAATGAAACAAAGATCAAAGATCAGCACATAAAACAGAGAACTATTACTCTGGTAGAAAATTAGCCAAACCTTAAGATAGCCATCTACAAAGTGCATCGGAGCATTGGAGAACCGACTATACAAAAAGCTTTAATAAATTTTGCTATGGAAGAATTTGCATTTAAATAAGGGAAAGAGAGTCATGACAATATAAACTGAATAACTGGAATAGTTAAAAATTCTCAGATATTTTTTTTTCAAAAAAAAACCATGAACTTTCGGTCAGTGCATAATGCTAAGGAAATAGAAATAATTGTGCAAGAGAATCTGAGGAAACACGTTTTCAACGTTTCACACATTCCACGATACGAATTGATGCTCTAAAGATCATTTTTTGTTTAAAAATCCATAATATAACCGAGTCACCCCACTAATTTAATTAGTACACTCGCGTAAGGCTGTAAACATAGATAGATAGAAATTAGATTAGCATTTTTTTACCAGAGAGAGAGAAATCGTACAATTCTCCTAACGGATTTCCTCCAATTGGCAATGGTAACACACTTTTTTGATAGGTCAAGACTAGTATAGAAATACGATTGGGAATACTCCAATTAGGAAATAGAAGGAAAGATATCCCAGGTTACTTGAGGAAGTCGTTTCTATTGAAAAATAGTTTAACACGTTGAAAGCGATGGTCGAAACCACCGACTGCCCGCTTGTGCGATTATATTCCGGTTGGTACAGCATCAGTGCCTCTGGTATTCAAATAAAAGAGTTGAACACACATTTTCTATGATTTCAAACCTTTTCATTAAATCATCAATAACGACTGTGATGAAAATGGTAACAATACCAACTTTTGGTGTTCTTTTAAATATTCTGTACCATTTTTATAAATGACCCACCCGTGGGTCGCTTCGTAGTAGATGGAAATCAGCAAAGGCCCACCGGTGGGTCGTATCGCAATCAATGTGTTAAAAGATAAATTGCTCTGGTTTCCATGACTGGAGACTTGAATTGTTGTGATTTCACGACTGCTTATTTCACAATCAAGTTCCAATTTGTCCAATGCCATAAAAAAGCTAACACTTGAAATTAAGTGAGTTGAAGGAATAAGTGCTTAAACCACTTTTACCATCGTTACTGGAGAGCACTTAGTCTGTATAAAGGCTGGGATTTCTGGCTTCTAAAAACGGCTAAAATATTGAAACTTAGCCGAACGTTTATTCAATTAGTGGATTACCCAATGACTGTCCAGGGAATGAAGTATTGCTTAACTTGGCAGATGATCAGTCCCATAATAGATCTACGAGGGCTAGTCATTACTGATAAACAAGTTCAGTTTTCTTTCTACTGGATCGGAGCAATAGTATACCTCAATGAGAAAATTAGATCATACTAAAAATTATGCAAACTTTACCAAGATACACCGAAAACCACAGGATGAATCAGCACCCACAAAAAAGAGAATATGAGGACTAAGTACATACAACCTGTTACACCTGTAACAGTATTAACGCACGTCTAGACCAATCCCATAACACTACCACCATCACCCAGGCAAAATAGTGTGTTCATGTGCATGTGGGTACATGCAAGTAGCAATAAAAAATTCGCTATTTGGACTTAGAATGGCTTTCTCTCACAATATGGCAAAGTAGAAATCACAGCCCCCCTCCCCTCTCCATCACATAAGATTCACATGGCATACACACACACACATAGGCACAATATGCCAACCCAATGTGTGCATTACCAAATTGTGCAACATGCGTATGCGACGACAATGAAAAGAAGCAGCAAGATGGCAAAGGAGAGGGAACTGGAGGCATGGTCACAAGTTAAGCTGTGATAAGGACAAGGATGAGGTCATGCACAACCACTACCTAAAATATTCCGACTCCCCACAAATACTACCTAGCCAGCCAATCCTTATTTGGAATCATTGATTTAGAACTAGGAATGCTTAAGGGGACTCGACGAAGGCAAGCATACTTAAATTTCCAGACACTTTAAGGATAAGTCGGAGTAGATCCCAAGTCCACCTCCCCCCCCCCCCCCCCCCAACACATTGCTTTGCCTGAAATATTCCAATAATGGGAAACAATTGGTCGGGAGTGCGCCAATGGAGATCGAAACCGAGACACCGACCACTCAGAAGAGAAGCAAAGACAAAGAACAATGTACTTTCCAAGAGATAATTGGGCATATTTAACCAATACTGTTGACAGCTTTCATGCGAATTTAAGATTAAATTCAAAGATGGAAAACACTCCCTGGTAAGATCTCAATAAAGAGCAAAAAAGCCGGGAATTAAATTACAAATCGAGGAGGCAGTCTATGCATCACAGTAACATTAAAATAAAAAGGTAAGCAAACAGACTTACCTTAAGTGGAGGTTCATTAAGATAAGGTGGTTCACCATCCAACATCTCAATGATCATAATTCCCAGGGACCAGATATCGATTTTCGGTCCATACTTGACGCTTTTATTCACGACTTCGGGGGCCATCCAGTAGGGAGTGCCGACCATTGTCTGTCTCTTGCTCTGTCGGCTACCCATTTGAGCGCAGAAACCGAAATCTGTGAGTTTTACTCGGCCTGATTTGCCCAGTAGGATATTGTCCGATTTGATATCCCTAAATAATGGCAAAATCATTTTTAAACACGTTGCAAGTTATTGCAAACATGGGATAGAAAGCGACGCTGTGCGAATGACGGCGCAGCAATATTTAAAAACAGACGCACACGCACACACACAACACGCCATTCGAGAAAGGAGGATTTCGCAGCAAAGCAAAACGATGCGTAAAATGACGGCAACAGTTCCCATTTTCGTCATACAAATGAGCGAACAAGTTATTTGAATTCCCCAACATCAAAATAAATGAACAGATTGGCACAATTATTTGTCCTGCACACAATAATAGAAGAGGAAAAAGGATAAAGCACAAACTTATTGAAATTAAGAGTAAAGTGACTGCCACCTAGAATAAGAATAACATCCTAGAATCCCTAATGAATAATCCGCATTTTATAACTTCACTTTATACTGCTCCGGTGGAATGCATAGTTTTGAACTCGTGAGCCCTGAAGTGGTAGGTGGAATAACTTCGGAGAGGGGAGCGGTATCTAAAAACAGATAAAACACCGAACCAATTCAACTCAACGCCATGATCAAACTAGAGTGTCCCAAGAAACCTCTTCATGTAAACAGCAAGGTCCACATTATAGTGTGCCATCAAAACGCTAATCATAGGGTTAATCACGTTTGGTTAGTAAAGATAGCCTAAATGTATTCCTCAAAGGTTGATACCTTATGAAATACTTGTAAAAATAACGAAATTGAGCAACTCCCCGACCATTCCTGTACTGCCCTATCTGCAAACTTGATTATCATTTCAACATGTGAGGAAGGTAAAATTCGACTTCTCGACGTTCTACTACTATTGATAACCACGGTCTATTAGGTTTACGTCCAACGAAATCTGCCTGCGGCATATCGATTAAAGAGAATCAATAAGACCTTGGTGGTCTTTCGCAATATCTCTAAGCAACCCTATGATAAATAGCCAGGAAGAAATAGATTCTAAAATTCATGCTAAAACTGTTTTAGCAGCGGTTAGTACACACGCCAATTAAAAGCGATCCGGTGATCAATAAGGAGGAAGACAGACGTCTCAGCAACACGCAGCTGTAATAGAACCTGGATTTGGAACCCCCAGCGGTATAAGGATTACAAGCGCTTATGTACGCCCAGAATAAGGTTAACTCCTTCCATTCAGAGAAGTTCTTTAAGATTTCTAATCCAGCGTCTTCATAACACCACCATAAGAACTACAACAATGAAAATTTGAAAGACCCATTAGAAAAGAGGACCACCCCCCTTCCATCACCACAACAAGATTATTGAGCGAAGCGAAGGAACTCTCCCCATTCGGCTTTCACATGATGACCTGTATTAACCCCATTGGGGTTGGTCATTCCAATCAATGAACGGAGACAAATTCGGCTTAAACTTAGCGGCACATACACCGAGATATATGTATATGATCACCGATTCCAAACCACACTTCGACTATAAATACTGGTTATAGTAACACATAATCCAACCACAAGTCAACATAAGTTCACGTATAAAAACGGCTACGCGGCACAGCGCATACTCCCTTAATGTTGCCATGCCTTTACGTGAGGAGCGAGCGAACGAGACTGCTATAAAAGACTTTTGACGGCTGATGTGTGTATGTGCAAAATTGGGTGTATGAATAGACCATGTTGAAACTATTTGGATAAGATGCAATGATTGCGTTTATCGAAAGCTTCAACATAATATACACAGATGTAGTAATGAACACCCACGAAGGACAAGGAATTATTATTCTAATCTGAAGGAAGGTAGTCGCCTGAATACTAACTATTGCAAATGTTGGACATCAGGCGATGATTGGTGTATTTTAATTTCCAAGGGATTATAGAAACAAACGCCTCGAATAAGATGTGGAAATGACTGCAAATGCCCTAAATAATAACTAAACATGAAGGAAGCTCAAAATCTCCCATTTCACGTTTCATTTTTTTCCCAACTTAAAACTCTTTCCTCCATTGGTCAAAAACTAAAACTGTAGAGCAGTAAAATAGAAGTGTTAACCAGACAAAAATGGCAATTTAGAGCGTGTTTCATGTTTAATTCCACCCTTCCATCATTAATTCAACTGGCTTACTAGATTCTTCAGTTCATTGAGCGTGCATTTGAATTGATATCTAACCTCTAATTTGGCAAACTTACACAATTACCATTACGCCACCAAAGCAGAAATGTATTCTAAATGCAGCGTGATTTTCAACGATTATCCCTTTCACATGTGTCCAGAATTCGGGAAAAAGGCAATTTTGTCCGAATATCATAAATTTGAAGCAACCATCCTCGTTTCAACACGGGAGATATGCTAGGCTTCTTTCCCATACATCGATTACCAAATGACCTTTACAATGAATTGAGCTGATCACAAGAAAGCTATTAACCATGGTTGAATAGGATGAGGTAAGTCAAATAGGGTGCCTAATGTTTACATTTCATTCGAGAAAAACTCAGAATTTTCATTTCTCATGCGTTTGACTATTGCTTATTTGGATTTCTATACTCGGGTCTGGCTATGCAAGACTACCACTGAAGAGACTATTGCCTAACTAATTTGTCCAAAATCTAAAACTTACTTCCATTTAGTGTGTGTTAGAAGTCTATCTCCGTCCTCCCCCCCCCCTCCCCTGGGACCCGAAGAGTTATAATGTTATTAAGGGCTATATATTATAAAAAAGCTTCTTCGATTTACCTGTGAATGATATTCTTTTCATGAAGGAAGTGAATGGCTTTGAGACACTCCTTGACAACCGCAGCAATGAGCGGACCTTCCATAACAGTTTCCGTAACAACGTCAGTGAGGGGACCTCCATCCAAATACTCCATAACAACCCACAACTCGTCTTCATTTTTCAAGAGGAAAGATTCAATGTAATTAACGATGTTTTCATTCCGGGTGTGCTCCATTACTTGGATCTCGGAGATTATCAAATCCCGATTGGGTTGTTTGGAAAGATTCATGATCTTGATGGCCACTGGCTCATTGGTTTCCTTGTTGTGGGCACGACGCACTGTTCCGGAGGCACTAAAGTGGTTACGGGTAAACAACTTAGCATAAGTTGTGCGTTATGCGAAGAATGGCAAGCTTTAAAATTCTAATCTGCTGCTTAAGCCATAAAACTGATGATAAATTCATGTCAAGCGTAGGCTATTAGACTGGTTTAGACAGATTTGCATCGCTAATTCGACTCTGTTATGGTAGGTCTGTGTAATCGCGACCACTTTCAGACATTCATGCCTATTCCATACTCATACATGACCTCAATGTCGAACTCTAAAAGAATGGCACCATATTCAAATAGTCTAGGTTTATCCTAAAGCACATTTAGAAAAGAGTTGCCATTGTTCATTCTAGGTAGGAGTAGCATCATAGTTGTAAACATTACTATTAACCACATTATTAACCAAACTTAGCCAATCCAGTAAGCGATTGAGCTCAATGGGTGTGTCGACCGATGATTATCGAAGTCGTGATCTTTAACCTCGCAGACAAAAGATTAAATGATGTCCACAGGCAGATAACAACATTGTATTCCTTTTTATCTTAGAAATTTTTAAGGATTTTAGAAAGGTACAGACCACAAGCCTCATTCAATGTAAATAACAATTAATAAGGGCTTGTTGTGCACCGATGAGTAATGTTTTTGTCTGCTGTGTAAGACATAACATTGTACCTCAAGCGATTGGAATGCAAGCTTTTACATGTTAGCTTTGACCAACGAATGGGAATTTGTAAGACAAGCATTGGCTGGAATTGATTGTACCCACCATTCACATCTCCAAAATGACTGCTTCGCCGTAACGAATAAATCTAAAAGGCTTAATAGATATTAGCCATCAAGCCCGATACTGGATAGGTGTTGACTGAAGCACCTGAATTGACATACTTGCGATTTCATTCAAGTTCTACTTTGGTAATTAAGAGTGATCACGAAAAAGAATATTTTCTCGACACCTAAACTGAAATGTTAAAAGTTAAAGGACGTCGTTAGAGCTTTTCTAGAACAAAGGATGGCGTAGCTTCAGTGGAGAGTCAAAATTATAGTCATTTCTACGTAGCATCAGGTAGTCAAGCTCAGATGCAACGTCTGAATACAATGAATGATCCGGCTGGCAACATAAAATATTAGTGGAAAGCAGTTGTTGAAAAGTAAAGACCTATTCAAGGTCAATAGAGTAAATGAGGAATATGAACAATTGTTGAAACAACTTTAATGCTAGGGTAGTCAGAATTCGTCACCCTATTGACGCACTCAACTGTAGGAGGTCGTAATTACAGTGAAATCAAGCGATACTTAGGAAAATAGCAAAATGCAAAGACGTGTCCATCTTAAATAAGACTACCAGTGTCCACAAATTGTATTAACTCTCTTAACGAGTGCCGAGTGAAAGACTTATATAATGGAGGCAGCCGTTAATACAATCACATACTCTTTGTCAAAACACAATCCTATTGGACGTGTGGAAAATGACGGTTTCATCGTTGAATTCCACATTCGATAACAAGGAGATATACATACTTCTTACGGCATTAAGGGGCCTTAATAAAAAAAATTTTAGATTAATTTATCCAGTTTTGACTGGAGAATTAATGAAATTTGAAAATTAAAAGCCACAAACTATTACTAAATTGACATGGTTTCTATGACATTTTCCCTGGAATAAAAATCAGTCTAAATCAACAGTGTACCCAGTACCAAATTGCATGCCATAAGTGAATTTTCGACCTATTTAACCAATCAGCGGCATAACACAAATGAGGCGTCCGGGAACTCAGTGCCTTGCAATTTGACACGGCGACTTGAGTACGATTGAATCCTTGTCTCAGAAGACGTGCTCTAGGTTAGTGATTTCTCAAGGGTCCCTCTGGATCTTTTGTCCAAATAATGACAAGATAGACATAAGCTAAATCGAATAAGCTGTATCGGGGAAATAATATCAAAGTCCATTAAACGAAATTTACAAGTGAAGAAAGTATGGATACTTTTCATTTCTACTTAATCTTTTTTAACTCGCTCCTTGTGAAAACTGTGATAAATACCATTTGCTAAATCTCAACAACAAAGAAGAATTCCAGAAACAGAAAACAGTATTGAAAGCGGCAGATTGGTATTAAGAAGGTGATGGAAATAGCCTTGTAATCTGATCTCTTCAATAATTATCTTGCAGGGACTGGAAGAAATGCCAGGAGATGACAGCTAACTCTGTAAGCAAGAGCAGAAGACCACAATTACTTGATGAATGTGAATCCCCCCCCCCCAGATACTTGACAAATTAATATATTTTCTAACAGAGACCAATTTTTTTAGAGTAAACTTGATGATAATCAGTAATAAGATGCGAGCAAATGCTCTCAAAGTAAAACTGAGATAGGTAAAATTTAATGACAAATCTCTTCTCCAATACATTTCATTAGGTTATACAACCATTCATCTAAATGGTGTAATTAATTCAAGCAATAAATACACGATTACAGGGATTGGTAAACATAAAAAGACGAAATAAAACCTCCACTAGGCGAAAATAACTAATTAAATCAAATAGGGATTGAAGATAAAAAAAAATTTCGAACCAGAACATGAATAATAAAAGTAAAAGAGAATAAAAAATCATTCAAGAGTGTGATTAATTATTTAATTTCCTATTTTAGCCTGCTTTAGAAATTCGAAAGGTCACTCACTCCATAATGGTGTAATGAATTAAAAATGAACTCTCTAAGCAAATATCTTGACGCAAAGATTCATTACAATACATGGAAAAAGGCAGAAAATAAGGCTATGGCAGCAAAAGACACAAAGGGGTGGAACCTATTCCCCCCCCCCCCCACATTTAATTCGTCAAAGCTACGAAACCACTTATTTGACAATAAAAATTATAAAAAACAGACAATTAAATAATTTAAAAATAAGCCCTTACCCAGAGCCCAAAACACCTTCCAAGCAGTATTTATCAAGTGGATCTCCGATGGAAATAATTGTTGCTGAAATAAAGAAGAAAAAGCGATAGAATCTAGTTTAAGTGGAAAATCAAAGTTCAGATTAAGCGGACAATTCCTACACCGAAATAACGAGGAAATTAACAAATTAGTACCAGAGCAATTAGAAAAGCCTTATATTTTTAAGCAAGAGGCTTCAATT